CCCGGGACCCCCAGGAACAGCCCCGGGACCCCCCAACTCCTCCCCAGCCGAGACCCCCCCATCCCCACTCTCCATCACCACCACTGGGGACACCCCGACCTCCCCCAGCACCCCAAAATGTGACCACTGCACCGGCGGGACCCTCAAACCTGCTCTTTGCGACCCCAACGAAGCCCTGGACTCCCCCCCACCCCCCAAAAAATGGGGAGGGGGGGAACCCCAAAATCTCCCAGCACCTCTCCAACCATCCCCTCGACACCTCCACCTCCTCCCTCAAAACCCCTAAAAACCCTCCCTGGACCCCCCCAAAATCCCTCAGGGAATGTGGGGGGGTGTTGTCCAGCCCCCCAATTCTGGAAATTCTGGAGTCTCACCGCGATTTTGGGGGTGTCGCACCCCGATTTTGGGGCGTCCCCCACGCCAGAACGCCGTGCGCCACAACCTGAGCCTGCACAAGTGCTTCGTGCGGGTGGAGGCCGCCCGCGGCGCCGTCTGGACCGTGGACGAGGCCGAATTCCGGCGCAAACGGGGCCAGCTCTACCCCAGGTACCCCAAAAAACCCGGACACCCCAAAACTCCCCCCAAGCACCCCAAAAAACCCACGCGGGAGGGGCGTGACTCCCCCAAACCACCCCGCTAACCTCGGGATGCTCCTTCAACCTCCACAGGGATTGTGACCTCAAGTACTTTATGCCGCCCCGGAGCTGATGAGGAACCCCAAAACCACCCCAAAAACACCCCAAAATCACCTCCAAGACCCCCCCCCCAAAATCCTCCCCACCCACGAGCAACACGACACCCCCAAACTGCTGCACCGGGATTTATTGAAACCATAAAGGAACCGTTCTCCCTCCCACTGTGGGGGTGTTTTGGGGGGGCTACACGGGTACCCCCAAATCCCTCTGAGTGCGGGGACCCCCCCAGGGGGGTTTTGGGGTGCGGGACCCCCCGTTTTTGGGGTCAGGCGTGGCGGGCACGAGCGGCCAGCAGCGCGTTCTCCTCCCGCAGCGCCCGGCAGTCGCTGAGGATGCGCTCCAGGCTGGCCGGGAGCTTGGCACTGGCCTCCCCCTCGATCTGGGAAGGGGAAATTTGGGGGGCAAAATGATGGGGGGGGAATTGGGAGGGAAAAATGGGAGGGAAAAATGGGAGGGAAAAATTAGGGGGGAGAAATTGGAGGGGAAAATGGGAGGGAAAAATGGGAGGGAGAAATTAGGGGGGAGAAATTGGAGGGGAAAATTGGAGGGGAAAATGGGAGGGAAAAATCAGAGGGAAAAATGGGAGGGAAAAATGGGAGGGAGAAATTAGGGGGGAGAAATTGGAGGGGAAAATTGGAGGGAAAAATGGGAGGGAGAAATGGGAGGGAAAAATGGGAGGGAAAAATCAGAGGGAAAAATCAGAGGGAAAAATCAGAGGGAAAAATCAGAGGGAAAAATTAGGAAGGCAAAATTGGAGGGAGAAATTGGAGGGAAAAATGGGAGGGAAAAATGGGAGGGAAAAGTCAGAGGGAAAAATTGGAGGGAGAAATTGGAGGGAGAAATCAGAGGGAAAAATTGGAGGGAAAAATTGGAGGGAAAAATTGGAGGGAAAATTGAAGGGAGAAATTGGAGGGAAAAATTGGAGGGAAAAATCAGAGGAGAAATTGGAGGGAAAAATCAGAGGGAGAAATTGGAGGGAAAAATTGGAGGGAAAAATTGAAGGGAGAAATTGGAGGGAAAAATTGAAGGGAGAAATTGGAGGGAAAAATCAGAGGAGAAATTGGAGGGAAAAATTGGGAGGGCAAAATTGGAGGGAGAAATTGGAGGGAAAAATTGGGTGGACAAAACGTAAGGAAAAAAAAAATTAGGGGGGGAAATGGGTAAAAATTATGGGGGGAAAAATGGGAGGGGGAA